TTGACGCATTTATATATATGTTGGAACGCCAAGATTTATAAAAAAAGTTACCTTTTATCGAGCAGGTATTCGCACAACTTGCTATCTTTTTACAAGATTCCCCATTGACGTCATGCCGCGTGTTTCTCATGGCCGCCGCTCGCGGCTGCAGGTCGGTGAATATTCTAAGTTTTGCCTCGCTATCATGCGGCGGAATCGCAACATTTCGATGAAAGGAGATGTGTTTTCTGTCATTTGTGACAAGGTGAATATAAAAAGTAAAAGATCCCAATTCTTCCAACGTTAAAATCGTTGCACAGCTCCTTTAAAAGCCCAGGACACCAAAATTCAGAGGTCGGCATTTTAGGTCACCCTCACTCACCCTCACCCTCAGAGCCACACTCACCTAAGCCCCTCACTCACCCTCACAGCTACATTCACCTTCAGCACTTCACTCACCCTCATCCTCACAGTCACACTCACCTTCAGTTCTTCACTCACCCTCACTGAACCTCACGGCCCTCACACCCCTCACACACTCATGGCCCTCACGCCACTCACCGCCCTCATGCCCCTCACTGCCCTCACGGCCTTCACGCACTCATAGCCCTCACGCCACTCACCGCCCTCGCACCCCTCACGCACTCACCGCACTAATATTCTAAACTTCCTGTTTTCTTAATCCTTTATGTAGATGTCTCCGACAGCAAAACTCCAGAACAGTTTGGGGCTACCTCTTCTGAAGCCCTGAAGCCAGCACCTCATCAAAAACAAGTTACCATGTCGACTCAACCTGGGCAAACAATTTTGACATACAGTGGAAGGAGATGCCGCCAAGGCTACAACAGGCCCTAAAGGAAAACAAACGGCCTTTGCCCAAAGATCGCAGGGAAATGGTCAGACTCATCATAAAGACGTCAATGGAAATGTGCCCACGGCCACTGAGGAAGCAGCTGGACATGATTGCAAAAAAAGTGGTGGACCAGTACCCATTGTCTTTCAAAGATGTCTTGGATGGAACAGTGGTTGGAACAGGACATGATTCTCTCCTGAACCAGCTTCTTGCCAGGGTGGAAAACGTGAGACGTGAAGACACGGAAAAGATAGCAGTGCCGACGCACACAAATCGAAAACAGAGGAAAGAGCGTAGCTACGGGTGTCAGAGCAGTTCCCCAGGTTACACACTTGAGGAAGAGCTGGAAATGAACAGCGACAAAGAGAGATTGCAGGCAATGTTTCGTGAAAGGTCGGCCAATACCGATGAAGTCCTTAAGCTCATGCGATCAACATATCCATTGCAACGTAGGGACATTAACTCTGAAGTGATGCCAATGAGAGAACTGTTGTGTGCATGGCCCTTCTTGTTCGTCCCTTCTGGTCTCTTCTGTCACTTTAGTGCCCTATGCAGTTTTGATATTCAAGACAGACTAAGGGAGTCGCTGCAAAAGAAGAAGGATGTAGTTCTCAAACTAATGAGACTGGACAAGAGGACAGAAAATGAGTATACCAAGCTAATGGAAGACATTGCAAAAGCTGGAGACAATGCAAGTCCAGAAACTGGGTGCTTGGCACTGATGATACTACTTGTGACATGGTTCGGCGAAGAGAGGGACTGCCTCATTCTGAGGAAAGATGTGAGTGGTAGCATTTTATTTTCAAGCCTGATCTACTCCAGGTCAGAGTTCCTGCTAGCACTGCACCCAAAATGTAGTAAAGCATTTGTTGCTTTTCTCGTTGCATACAGCTATTTTGAGAGCTTAATCATTTTGACAGTATCTACAATCTTAAGCACTCTTGACTTCTTGGACCATTTCTTCTTGCCTTTGCACAATAACCTAAAGTTGTTACCTGCCAATGCATGTTGCATTAAACCTAATTTCTTTCCTAAAGCAAATTCCTAAGCACTGAATGCTATCCACAATGGCACATTGTCAGAGTTTGTGGTTTTGCGAGGAGGAATATCTGATTAAAAATTGTTTAACCACATCCATGACAATTTATCATTCCTAAGTCCAGAATGTCTTAAAAAAACCACTAAAACAAATTTTTTTAAACAGCGTGGTTAGGGCACATGTGTCAAAAAAGTAATTTTACGCAAAAAGAAAAAAATATTCTTTAGAGCAATATTGATGGCGTGAGACGCAATTTATTTGATAGTCACCTCCTTTCCACTCGCTTTTTCTCGGCATTTCAGGCACGTGAAGGAGAGGTGGATCGGCTTTGCATTTTATTTTTTAAGCCTCGACAATGAGGTGGAGAGAGTGTATGACCATCTCGTTGAGGTGGAAAGAATGTATGACCATTTCACGATGTCATGAACTTTGTGCACAGAAATTAAAATAAATATCACGCGATAAATATTGCTCTAAACATATTTTCGCATAAATTTATATTGTTGACGTGCGTGTCCCAACCAGACTGTATAAAAACAAATGTGTCAGAGCAGTTCCCCAGATTAAACACCTGAGGAAGAGCTGGAGATGAACAGAGACAAAGAGAGATTGGAGGCGATGTTTCGTGAAAAGCCAGCCAACACCGATGAATTCCTTACGCTCATGCGTTCAACATATTCATTGCAACGTAGAGACATTAACTCCGAAGCTATCCCAGTGAGGAAACTTGTGTGCATCGACTCCGAAGCTATCCCAGTGAGGGAATTTGTGTGCATGGCCCTTCTTGTTCGTCCCTTCTGGTCTCTTCTGTCATTTTAGTGCCCAATGTTTTCAGTGGCCTTGTAAGAATTAGTGGTTGTGGAAGTGGGGATTTGTTTTAACATAACCATGCGTCTTTCAATTTTTACAGCCATTTCTAACTGCTGCTGAAGTCGAGGAGGACCTGCCAATTTCTCCTTGCATTATAGCACTGGGTATGTTTATGAATAGATTGTATCATTATATGTACTACAAATTAGCCCTGTCCCTGAACTAAGTTCCAGAAGTTCAAGTTCTAATGTTACAACTTGTTATTAATGCAGAAGTAGAATATAAATAAAAATGGTGTTTGGCGTTTTTGGTTTAAAGCAGTAAAAGTGGCAACTTAATTTTTGTAAATTCAGTTTTAAACGAGAAAGGTCAGTATTTCAGGCCACTATGGCAAGCCAAGAGGAGACGGGATATGTCGTCGCACTTGACTGAGTAGTCGACTATCTCACCTACGTAACTGTGAAGTGTTCTGTTGGTGGAGGGTCTGCAGGACAATACTCTTTAGGGAGTACTTGGGTTTGTCGTGGATGCAATCTGCATTCATTTTGTGGCTCAGTCCTTGTGCATCAAGTTGGTGTCGTCTTCTAAAAGCCAGATTTGGAGTTTTTTGTTGTTTGTCACGCCCTTTGATTTCCACTGTTTCTTTTTTATGGGGAGGGGAGCTGTTTTAACACCTCCTCAAGCTTCTCTCTGGTTAGTGGGAAGCAGTTTTGATAATCCTATAAATATGAAGAGCAGAAAAGTGCCAATAGTTACGCTTGTGAATTTCACAGTTTAGAATTTGTCGTCATCCTTACAAAGTGCTAACCAAGGTTATGTTTGTCATGTCAGGAATTATTGCTGCGGATATATAATTCAGATATCTGTCTAATGTACTGCGTTTTGGAGCGACCTCATTGAAAAATGGAAGTAGTCGATGTGTATTCACCAAAAAAAAAACCGGTAAGCTTTCATTTCTAAAAATGTTTGCCGATAAAATTGAAAATGTATGTCCGATCTTGGAATATGCGGGGTGCGTATGGGACCCATACAGGAAGCAGCAGGTTGCGCAAATTGAACGGATACAGAATCTGGCACTTCGGTTTTTTTTCTGAGTATAGGCGCACAGAGTTAGTTACGGCAATGAGAAATGAAGTGCGGCTAGATTGTTTAGAGAAAAGAAGGAAAGTGTGTAGATTAAAGGAATTATACGCGGTTGCTAATAATGGCTTGACAAAGATTAATTCTGAAGTGTACATTTTTGCCTTCAACATCACGCTCCAAAAGAACAAGCAATACTAAAGCAATTGAACCCTACCAGTACAGAAATGATGTATTTAAATACTCTTTCTTTTGTCGGACTATTATTGAGTGGAACACCCTGCCTGAGCAAGTTGTCAATTGTTGTAGTCCTCAATTATTTGAAGCACAGCTGAATCAATTGTTTGGTTAAATTTTGCATGTGGAAATGTTTTTGAGCATGCGTGGGTTGCTGCAACCTACCTGCACTCGCCTCATACGGTGAGTGCATGATTGAGTTATTTCTGTGTGTTGTTTTTTCCCCTCCTGTGCGGAACGACAGGTCCACAGTATTTCAAATAAATAAATAGATAAATTTCTAAATAAAAGCCAAAAGAAGTATGTCAAATCCTAGAACAATAAAAACCTAAAAACACTGATAACTAAATATAAAGCAGGTCTCAGAGTTTAAATCAAATACAAATCATTTAAAGTGTTTCACATGTCTGTCGGACAATTCATGAAATCTACAATGGCTACCTATAGCCCATAGCGACAACACACGTTTCCGAAGTTGCTAGAAGTGACAAATCATTCGATTTCTTTGCAACCAATAGAAGTATGTGCTAGATGTAACGATACAGCGAGTATCCATGCGAATGCGGTGGTCATGTGCAACTGGGGAGGGAGAGGGCCTTCGAGGTTCCTGTTCAGTTTTGGTGGCACATGTCTCCCCTCCACTAACCAGTGAACATTTGCCTAGGTGCCTTCACAGGCCATCCTCTCCCTTTCTGGAGTAGAATTCTGACTGGCCTACACTCAAGCAAGCTCACTCATAGTGGAGGGAAGGCAAATCGAGCCAAGGATCTCATCTCCTGTCGGCAAAAAGTAATGTTGGAAGTGTTTCGAATGTGGGGGGGAGACCGGCAGTGAGGGTGGGAGGGACGAAGCTGGGCCCCTTCCCTTCTCCCATTTTGTTTTTACAATTATTTGAAATGTCCACGATCTGGAGGTGCAGCCCAGCCCCATTGTTCCAATGCCTTGTCAGCAACTCTACTTATCTGAATGTTTACTATTTTCTCATTTTTTAAACTTTTGTAGGGGATGATCTGTGGACTGCCCACGAGTACGCACTCAGCATTGATGGCAGGCTCATGGTTCAGAAGATACCAGACGTCCCTACGGCATGGGCTGCACTCTTCGCGAGTCACTATTGCTTTAACATCTGCTACGCTGAAGGCCTGTCATCGACCCTCGAGTTCCTTCAGAGGTAATTTCCTGTTCTGTGATTTTGGTATATGTATGTGGATGCCTAGTAGGACTCCATACTTTTTATCTATATCATTTCCAGGCTTATTGTTCCTATCGAAATAAAGCAAACACCTTGCACATTTACTGTCATGAAAGACATAGAGCCACAGTTGGTACCTTCCTTCTCATTTGTGAAATAGAAGAGCACATATCTCGCTGATTGGAAGGCTGTCCCAATTGCTTCCGCCAGCTCCAAACAACTATAGCTCCCACATCCTGCACCAATGCTGCACTTTTTATTGAAATTGCACCCGAGCAGAGTCCACAGATCGAGCAGTCAAACAGCTTCAATTGCATGTATGCATAGGCCAGTGGTCTTGGTATTTCATCAGGCAGCTGGACTGCATTGTAATAACAAAGCTCAGAAATCAATTTTAGGGAAACATTTAAGCACAAAGCTAACACTACCTCAACCTGGCATGTAAAGGTGAAATAAACAAGAAAATAAAAAAATAGAGCTTATCTTTCAAACTGATTTGCCCCTTCTGACCATTACATGTCATTTTAACGTGCCCATCTACAACGAAACAACTCCAGCAATATTGCATATTTTGATATGCTCCCGCTTCTCACTAACGTTTTTGTATACAAGCTTAGTGTTTGGTCCCACCTATTATAACTTGTGGGTCCTCAGGTTAGGAGAGCTGCAATAGGGGGGCATGAAGAGATGCATGCGGCTCACGAGCCGCAGTTTGTCCCCTCCTGATATTCTCTTTACTAAATATTTTACTTCCTTCTAGTCTCTCCCTTCGGTCATGTATACATATGTGACACATATGACTAAATTGACTAACTTTTCAGGTTACCAACTTGGATGAAATGTTTCTTTCATGGCACTGATGCTTATTGCAGAGGTTTCCTGAGCATGAACCCTGACCGTGGCACCAGAGCCAAGCGCTCCAAGTCGGAAGTGAACAAGAAAGTACTTAACCTGGTCAAGAAAATAGCAGAGCTGGAGTGGAATGTGTGAGGCTGTAAGTATGATTCACTACAGTGTTCACTTATAAATGGGAAGTGGACATGAGACTTATTTTGAAGAGAAGCAGAAGAAGGTGAAATAATTCAATGAGCGTAAGAGTCCACTGTCACTAGAGAGGAAGAATAATTCTCAGAGATAGATAGATGCAGGGATACATTTACCACTAACGAAGAGTATGTGAAGGTTTTGTAACAGACCACTTAGCAAACTACAAGCATTACTCACTGGTATAGTGTGTTTTTCTGCCAGTGATGGATTTACAAAAAAAAATGCTCTCACTTCAATTTTTGCAAAAAAAAAAAATTGAATTTGGCGCTTGATTAGTACTTCTCGTGAGTCGGCCCCTTTATCAAATTATCTCTGCTGGATATCAAAACAATGATATCACACAGCTTATTTTAGAGCAAAATTTCCGGCTGTAGACAGGTACCTGGAAAGGTTAGTTCGTGAAATATTAAAGGCAATTTTGCAACTGTTACCCGTCTGGGAGGGGATGTGATGAGGTAGTTCACAATAATGGTTCTTCATTGATTCTGGCGAATGAGTGTTCGCCATCATTGTTCGCAGAGTCCCACCCAGCTTGTCACCATTCTGGGAATAATGGGATCACATAACCATCACCAGTGTGTGGTCACCTGATCATACTGCAAATAGTGAATCGGTCATAGTCAGATGGTCACATAACCACACACACCATACATCTGAGTGAGCCCAACACATTCTGACCTTTCATAGCTTTTGTGAGCATAATCAAGCTTGCCTAAATTTTTTCTTACATTGTTGTGATACTGCTCATGCCTACATTTCGCCACACATTACTTCATCCCATTATTATAGAAAGCAGTGAATAAGACCCTGCTTCATGGCTGGACCATCAGAGTGGGCTTGAGCAAATAATCAAAATTTATTGCTGCTCTGGGCAATATACTATTCAATTTTACTTTTGTAAAATTGATGCTGTGCTTTCAAGTTTGGGAATTTTCGGCATTATGTGTGGTCTGTCCAATCTAGTTAGCCACCACCATTGGGCGCACTTTTAACCATACACTTGTGCACCACAAAGAGGTGGTACCCACAGGTTTCACACTGATTCTGCATATCTCGTCTCGCTGTAGCAGAGGCTCATGCTTGGGAAGGAAAGTTGTCATTTAAACATATGGTCCACATGTCTTTGAATAGACAGGGAAGTTGAGAAATGATAATCTGAAAATTCTAAGTTGGTGTAAGATTTCAAAAACCAAGTCGTTTGCTAGTACAGGGTCTCCTAAAAAGTTCACGCACTAACATGGCCCGCAAATTTGAACATGTATATTATTTAGTGCATGGATTAAATGATGGAGATGTTAGTATTGTTGATAACAGTGCGGACATATCAAGTAGTAATATTCCTTGAACGGATATATTACTAGTTAAATTAACATGTTAGAATAAACATAAAAATCTTTGTTAAATGCAATTGTTGTGAATAACTATATTACAGAATTTTTTACCCTGAACTCGACACTAGTGGTAACACAGGGGTGGGAAAGGAAAGCAGGCATTGTCTTCTAGTTTTGACAGGCAAACAGATGTATCTTAATGTAGTATTCATAACAAAATGAATAGGAAGTGTGCTTTCAAAATCCAAAACTTCCTTTTGTTGCTTAAAAATATATTTTTGGCTGGCCCAGAAGGTGCTCCGAAATTACTCTGACCGTTTACATCACATCAGCACTAGCTTGGAGTTACTTTCCTTGATTTTTTCAGTCTGTGGTTTTCTACTCATTCTGTTCTGTTTGAATATGTCTGTTGAAGGTCGGTCATCTTATGTGGGAACGAGGCATGCGACATGGGGCTCGGGCTCATTCAACGCAAGGTCTTGGCACCAGGAAGATTTCAGCAGCCATAAGCAATGGCACTTGGGTCTAAATTTGGTGAGTATGATAATGATCGAGCACCCAGCTGCTTGTGTGAAAAAAAAAAGGGGGGGGACACTTATGCTCGGCCTTAATGTATGACACGATGGCGGGAGGGCAGGGGGTGGAGGAGGAGAGGGGAGGTGGGGGCAAGGGCAGGGAGGGCAGCAGTGGGGAGGGGGGGGGGGGGAATCCTATGATCCCTTGCATGCACAAGGGATCGTGGCGCAAAACATTGAGGGGTTTCTCGACATGCCGACGCTGGACGCCGGTTCTTTTGCTGCATTAACACTATTGGGTTGAAACATAACTTACCTAGCCTCACTTAAAACTCAAGCATAGCTTTACTACGCTGCCTATAATTACATGAAAAAATGTCTATGTGATGCTAGAAATGAGACATGGTTAACATGCAGTCATATATTTTAAGAGAAATGATGCCACACTAGGTATAGTGCACCTTATACATGGCAAATATAGGTCGATGAAATGAGAAGCATGTAAGTAGCAGCTGCATCACAAGCTGTCCTTGTTTATTTTGGATATCATCTAAAATTGAAGTGCTGAGCACACTGCTTTAACCATTTGTTTATCTGAAGTGACACTAGGCACAGTGCACAGAGATTCTATTGCCAGCTAAGCCTGACGTTCGCAGCTAGCCCTGATGCAACCGGCCACGACTATTCATATCTCTTATGGTGCGAACATGTCAGAGAAAGATTAATGATGCCTTTTCAATACTGCACGGTGGCAAGAGAATTGCAGTCTCTGGTGGTGGAGAAAGACTAGTTCTACGTTAGTGCCAACAAGACTCAACCAGCTTAACTCTCGATGAAGAGGAGGAGTAAATTTCTATGTGTGCTGCTTAATTAATGTCAACCCCTGATTTTGAAAACAAACTCACTCAGCTCTTAAGTTGAAAAATGTCTAGTAAGTAAATAGTAGGCTTTCCCATAAAATAGCTGTATTTTTGTGCAGCACTCTCTGCCAAACTTTGTGCATATCCTCTCATTCATTTGCCCAGGTATATAGGGGCTGTGCTGGGATACTGAAATGGTATTCGAGAAAACCAGAATACATGTACTACAGGGCTAATATATAGCTACTGAGATATAATGAAGTTTTACTTGATTAGGACAAGCTAAGCTAGAGGGGGGGTTCAGTTGTCACATAAAGCTTCTTTCAAACATTGTAAGCAATATCAGCATCATTAGTTTCTTTCCACAGTGAATAAAGCGTGGCTAACATTATACAACATATCTGTTAAATTGCTTCTATTTTGGCACATTTATATATGTTATATTGATAACTGGTTTCTTTCTTTTCCAGATTAGAGGGTATATGGACCTGGGTCTTCATCATCCAAGTAAATAAATGTTCTGTTTTTATTTCTATCCTACACACAATTTATGCTGTGTTCTGGCTTAATTGCATTTGCATGTACATACACAACGATCGCATTGCAGACATGAAGACCACACTACAATTACAATAAACAGCATGCCACATATATTACAGGCACAAAATGGCTAACCTAAGGAGACTTCATGACCCATTGTTTGATTCATTGTCTGTTGACCAGTAGTAGGAAGTAAATCGAAGCAGCAAAACATGTGCGGTGAAACGCTAAGCATGTCGTACAATGCGCTGGGTAGATGATAGAATCCGACAATGCTTACTTCTGTCGAATTTTGCATACTTTCTGACATGTTGTACGAAGTGCTAGCGCTTCATTGTGCCAGCATTTTGCACCTTCAATTTACTTCTTACGATGGCCAACTGGCAGTGAATTAAACGGTCAACAATTTTACGGTGACCATTAAATTAGCAGTCAGTTGACCGGCAAATAAACTGCCACCATGGCGTGATCTTAGCGGCAGTCAGTAAATCTCGTTTACGGTGTGTTCAGCATCGCCCCGTAAAATTAACACTATCTTTTTTTACTGCGACCGTTTAATTTACTGGGAGATGACGGTCAGGCAGTAAATTTGAATTTACGGTCTCCCGTATAAATTACGAGAAGTTGCTGGCAGCCAGAATGCCGGTCAACTTACCGTAATTTTGACGGCCCATTTTTTACAGTGCACGATGTCGTCCCTGATGCCGTCGCCGCGGGTGCACCAAGCGTCAGTAGCACGCTTAGCGAAAACCACGAACGCGCAGAACGAACATCCGCCGCCGTTGAGAAATCCCGGGCACACCCACGATGTCGTCCCGGATGCCGTCGCCGCGGGTGCACCAGGCGTCAGTAGCACGCTCAGCGAAAACCACGATCGCGCGGAACGAACATCCGCCGCCGTTGAGAAATCCCGGGCACACCCACGATGTCGTCCCTGATGCCGTCGCCGCGGGTGCACCAGGCGTCAGTAGCACCCTTAGCGAAAACCACGAACGCGCAGAACGAACATCCGCCGCCGTTGAGAAATCCCGGGCACACCCACGATGTCGTCCCTGATGCCGTCGCCGCGGGTGCACCAAGCGTCAGTAGCACGCTTAGCGAAAACCACGAACGCGCGGAACGAACATCCGCCGCCGTTGAGAAATCCCGGGCACACCCACGATGTCGTCCCTGATGCCGTCGCCGCAGGTGGACCAGGCGTCAGTAGCACGCTCAGCGAAAACCACGATCGCGCGGAACGAACATCCGCCGCCGTTGAGAAATCTCGGGCACACTCACGATGTCGTCCCTGATGCCGTCGCCGCGGATGCACCAGGCGTCAGTAGCACGCTTAGCGAAAACCACGAACGCGCGGAACGAACATCCGCCGCCGTTGAGAAATCCCGGGCACACTCACGATGTCGTCCCTGATGCCATCGCCGCGGGTGGACCAGGCGTCAGTAGCACGCTCAGCGAAAACCACGAACGCGCGGAACGAACATCCGCCGCCGTTGAGAAATCCCGGGCACACTCACGATGTCGTCCCTGATGCCGTCGCCGCGGGTGGACCAGGCGTCAGTAGCACGCTTAGCGAAAACCACGAACGCGCGGAACGAACATCCGCCGCCGTTGAGAAATCCCGGGCACACTCACGATGTCGTCCCTGATGCCGTCGCCGCGGATGCACCAGGCGTCAGTAGCACGCTTAGCGAAAACCACGAACGCGCGGAACGAACATCCGCCGCCGTTGAGAAATCCCGGGCACACTCACGATGTCGTCCCTGATGCCATCGCCGCGGATGCACCAGGCGTCAGTAGCACGCTTAGCGAAAACCACGAACGCGCGGAACGAACATCCGCCGCCGTTGAGAAATCCCGGGCACACTCACGATATCGTCCCTGATGCCATCGCCGCGGGTGGACCAGGCGTCAGTAGCACGCTCAGCGAAAACCACGAACGCGCGGAACGAACATCCGCCGCCGTTGAGAAATCCCGGGCACACTCACGATGTCGTCCCTGATGCCGTCGCCGCGGGTGGACCAGGCGTCAGTAGCACGCTTAGCGAAAACCACGAACGCGCGGAACGAACATCCGCCGCCGTTGAGAAATCCCGGGCACACTCACGATGTCGTCCCTGATGCCGTCGCCGCGGATGCACCAGGCGTCAGTAGCACGCTTAGCGAAAACCACGAACGCGCGGAACGAACATCCGCCGCCGTTGAGAAATCTCGGGCACACTCACGATGTCGTCCCTGATGCCATCGCCGCGGATGCACCAGGCGTCAGTAGCACGCTTAGCGAAAACCACGAACGCGCGGAACGAACATCCGCCGCCGTTGAGAAATCCCGGGCACACTCACGATGTCGTCCCTGATGCCGTCGCCAAGGGTGGACCAGGCGTCAGTAGCACGCTTAGCGAAAACCACGAACGCGCGGAACGAACATCCGCCGCCGTTGAGAAATCCCGGGCACACTCACGATGTCGTCCCTGATGCCATCGCCGCGGGTGGACCAGGCGTCAGTAGCACGCTTAGCGAAAACCACGAACGCGCGGAACGAACATCCGCCGCCGTTGAGAAATCCCGGGCACACTCACGATGTCGTCCCTGATGCCGTCGCCACGGGTGGACCAGGCGTCAGTAGCACGCTTAGCGAAAACCACGAACGCGCGGAACGAACATCCGCCGCCGTTGAGAAATCCCGGGCACACTCACGATGTCGTCCCTGATGCCATCGCCGCGGATGCACCAGGCGTCAGTAGCACGCTTGGCGAAAACCACGAACGCGCGGAACGAACATCCGCCGCCGTTGAGAAATCCCGGGCACACTCACGATGTCGTCCCTGATGCCGTCGCCGCGGGTGGACCAGGCGTCAGTAGCACGCTTAGCGAAAACCACGAACGCGCGGAACGAACATCCGCCGCCGTTGAGAAATCTCGGGCACACTCACGATGTCGTCCCTGATGCCATCGCCGCGGATGCACCAGGCGTCAGTAGCACGCTTAGCGAAAACCACGAACGCGCGGAACGAACATCCGCCGCCGTTGAGAAATCCCGGGCACACTCACGATGTCGTCCCTGATGCCATCGCCGCGGATGCACCAGGCGTCAGTAGCACGCTTAGCGAAAACCACGAACGCGCGGAACGAACATCCGCCGCCGTTGAGAAATCTCGGGCACCCTCACGATGTCGTCCCTGATGCCGTCGCCACGGGTGGACCAGGCGTCAGTAGCACGCTTAGCGAAAACCACGAACGCGCGGAACGAACATCCGCCGCCGTTGAGAAATCCCGGGCACACTCACGATGTCGTCCCTGATGCCGTCGCCACGGGTGGACCAGGCGTCAGTAGCACGCTTAGCGAAAACCACGAACGCGCGGAACGAACATCCGCCGCCGTTGAGAAATCTCGGGCACACTCACGATGTCGTCCCTGATGCCGTCGCCACGGGTGGACCAGGCGTCAGTAGCACGCTTAGCGAAAACCACGAACGCGCGGAACGAACATCCGCCGCCGTTGAGAAATCTCGGGCACACTCACGATGTCGTCCCTGATGCCATCGCCGCGGATGCACCAGGCGTCAGTAGCACGCTTAGCGAAAACCACGAACGCGCGGAACGAACATCCGCCGCCGTTGAGAAATCCCGGGCACACTCACGATGTCGTCCCTGATGCCGTCG